GGCTATTCTGGGTCCCTTGCATTTCCGTATGAATTTTGGGACCAACTTGCCAATTTTAGCAAACAGGCCAGCAGCAATATCGATAGAGACTAGCAGTATCTGTAATCAGGGTGGGAAGCACTGCCATAGTAACAATATTAACTTGTCTGGTCCATGAACATGAATGTCCTTCCACATATTCTCATCTTCTATATTTCTTCTCCTGGGGAGTTTTCAAAGAATCAGTTTTATAATCGAAGGCAGTTTTTTAAAGGGACGTCTTCCTCATTCCTACCACTTACGCACAAATGAAGAGGTGGACTGAGGACACAAACCATAGCCGATTAAAAAGACGTGGAGGAAACTAGATTCGGCCAAGTCACCTGAAGACAGTCACACAGTCTGTGGCACATTTTTATCCCAGTGAAGACTCAGAATGCTGGTTCTCACCGTGGCTGCACATTAGAATCATCTAGGAAGCTGATAAAAATCACGATGCCCAGGCTATACCTCAGGCCAATTACATCAGAACCTCCTGGGTGGTACCCACACGTTGGTATTTTTTTTTTAATTTTTTTAATGTTTATTTATTTTTGAGACAGAGACAGAATGCAAGTGGGTTGGGGCAGAGAGAGAGGGAGGCACAGAATCTGAAGCAGGCTCCAGGCTCCGAGCTGTCAGCACAGAGCCTGACGCAGGGCTCGAACTCACGAACTGTGAGATCATGACCGGAGATGAATTTGGACGCTCAACCAACTGAGCCACCCAGGCGCCCCCGTCGGTATTTTTAAAATATGTCGTTGAGGTGAAAACTGCTGAAGTAATGATAAGAAGTTTCAGGGGCGCCTGGGTGGCTCGGTCAGTTAAGCGTCTGACTTCGTCTCAGGTCATGATCTCGCAGTTCGTGGGTTCAAGCCCCGCGTCGGGCTCTTTGCTGATGGAGCCTGCTTCAGATTCTGTCTCCCTCTCTCTCTGCCCCTTCCCCATTCATTCTCTCTCTCTCTCTCAAAATAAATAAACATTAAACACTTAAAAAAAAAAAGAGAAGTTTCAGTGAAGTTTTCCATTTGTTCATATTTCTTTAAGAGTTTTTCATGTTCTACCTTATTCTAGAAAGGAATTAAGCAGACTGATAAAAATGTATAAACTAAGGGAAGACACAACAGCCAGGGTGAAAAAAGAAAGCGAAAGGAAGGTGAGGACAAAACGGAACCCCCAAAACGCATACTCTGATGGTCTCCGCTTTCCACAGTGTGGAAGAAGGGATCAGTATCGTGGCATGGCCCCAAGTACTGATATTGAAGATATGTGGCAACTTGGCAATTATTTGGCAATGAGACCAAAGAGGAGCTCACCCAGGACGCCGCGCAGTGAGAACAGAGTGATGAGGGTGTACGGGCATCTCCCCGGCTGTGCTGGGTATTCAACTCGCCTACACCGAAATGCCATTACTAAATCTCACATAAACACACGAATGACAGCAAAGCCTAGGGAATCAAAGAACTTTCAAAACGCTAATCAAAGAAGAACTTTCAAAATGTGAACCCCAAAAGCCCTAAGGCAAATTCCCTGTAAAAAGACATAGCTACCTTGGTCTACAGTGAAGATTTTGTTCTTCCGTCAAAGCAACGACCGACCAAATTAGAAAACATATACTCTGTGTGTCTCCATCTCTCTCTCTCTCTCTCTCTCTTTTTTTTCTAATTAGAACCAAAGGTGACATCTGTTTAGATAACGTGTCTAAACGTGCTCAGCACCGTCCATCTCCCACCTGGTCCCTGTACCTGAATCTGTTCGTGGCTGGGGTGGTTTCCATGTTGAATTCGGCCACTGGCACTCCGCGGGCAGACACCTGGGGGGCAAACATGGCAGCAGGATAAACCACGGAGGAAGTTCCCACCTACAAAGCAAACAAATGGAAACGGACAAATGACCACACTACAGGGAGAGGAAACATTCTTCCAGAAAACCTTACACAAACTCAGGCCAGTTTAGGGTTGCAAGATGTGAGGAAAGCTAGCTGGATGAAACAGATGGAGAGCTTCCAAGGGACAGATGGGGAGTTAAGAGGCATCCTGTCGGCTGATCACTAGAAGAATGTGCTAGGGAAAAGGGAGCACAAACGGAGGGAACGGCAGATCAAGGGCTCGGTTTTGTCTCTGCTCTGTGAAGTAATGCCAATAATCCATGTTCGTTTTTTTCTTTTCTTTTTTAACATTAGAAAACGCAAAGAAAAAATATACTCACGTTATTCATACTCCCACTACCCTGTGACAACCACTGTTATACATCCTTTCAGGTTTTTCCCCATAGATGCATATGTTTAAGTGTGCTTTACAAGAATGGAAAGGCCAGAACATGTTGTACAAACCAGGTTTTCTCATTTAAGCACTGGTGATGAACAGACACTGAAACATTGGGGTGCACTCAATAAATACTGGCTGAATGAATGTGTACCCATGAGAATGTGCTTCTGCTTTTAAAGATGTGTTAAGAAAACTCTGAAATATGCACACCCTCTGTCTAATTCATTCCATTTCTAGGAAATATGTCCCAAGGAAATGATTTGAAGAGTATGCGAGGAGTTATGTCTAAGAATAGTCACTACAGGGGCGCCTGGGTGGCTCAGTCGGTTAAGTGTCTGACTTCGGCTCAGGTCATGATCTCGCAGTTCGTGAGTTCGAGCCCTGCATCGGGCTCCGTGCTGACAGCTCGGAGTCTGGAGCCTGCTTCAGATCCTGCCCCTCCCCCACTCACGCTATCTCTGTCTCTCAAAAATGAGTAAGCGTTAAAAAAAAATTAACAACAGGGGTGCCTGGGTGGCTCAGTCGGCTGAGCGTCCGAGTTCGGCTCAGGTCATGATCTCGCAGTTCGTGGGTTCGAGCCCCGCATCAGGCTCTGTGCTGATGGCTCAGAGCCTGGAGCCTGCTTCGGATTCTGTGTCTCCCTCTCTCCCTGCCCCTTCCCCACTCATGCTCTGTCTCTCAAAAATGAATAAACATTAAAAAAAAATTTTTTTTTAATTAACAACAAAAAAAGAATATTCACTACAGCATTATTTAAAATATCAAAATGTGAAATGGCCTAAATGTCCAACAATGGAGGATTGGTTAAATACATCCTTGTATATCCATGCAACAGAACACCATGCCGCCAATGAAAAGATGATACAGATTTGTGGATGTACTGACACAGAATATGCCCGGTGAATCGCTACATGAATAAAGTTGTTTCAAAGCAGAACATACGGTATGAACCCACTTTTGAATTTTTAACCATATGTATACATCTGCACAATAAAAGGTCTAGACCAGGAGTAGGGAAATGTTTTTCTGGAAAGGGCCATATAGTAATATTTTTAGGATTTATAAGCCATACAGTCTCCATCACAAATAGTCAACTCTGCCATTGGAGTGTGAAAGCAGCCATACACGATACGTAGAAGAATGGGCATGGTTGTGTTCCAATAAAACTTTATTTACAAAAACAAGTGGCAGCCTAGATCTGGCCCACCGGCCACAGTTTCTCACCTCTGATCTAGGAAAAAATACACTAAAATGAACAGTGGCTATTTTTGGATGGTAGAATCATTGGTGATTTCTAATTTCCTCCTTATAATTTTACACTTTTTTGTGTTTTCTCAAATGTAATAATGAACATGTATTACTTTCAAAATCAGAACCAATAACATGCTCTTTTCATTATTTTTGGCAGGAGGGGAGTGTCTTTGCAAAGCCCAAGACACGGTCTTCCGCAGTTTCACATTTACGATCAATTCGTATTCGTTGTTTCTTAATTCTTCTGTAGGGTACAAAACCTCTCAACACACACAGTAGGAAGAGGAGGAAGGAAGGAAAGGGAAGAGAGAGGGAAGGAAGGAAACATAAAAAAACACAACAAACTCCACCCCAGTCCTGGTGTTCCGGAAAATCTCGAGGATCAGGGGAGGGCATGACTTACCACTAGACATAAGTCACAGAGGGTCAGCTCTCTGTCAACCTCCTCCAGAATGGCAGGATCCAGGTTTTCGCCAAACCACACCACGTGGGGTCGCAGCAGGCCCTCGCACCCCGCCTCTTCACACCTGTGGGAACATTATCCTTCACCCAACCCCAACACCTGCCCTGCAAGAAGATCTGCCCCACTGGATCAGAGGAAGGCTAGGGGCTACCCCAAATCAAGTCTGTCGCCCTCTTCCTTGTTATCCTCCCTCCCTCCCCTTCCAGACCATGTGAGCTTATTCTGAATATTCAGGCCCTTCTAAAGCTTTCATTTTGTCCGGATGCACTGGGCTGATATGTTGACAGCTGTGTTTCAGCCAACCTTACCATTCTCTTTCTAAACCGTGTTAAAAAAGAGAGACCACAGGCCCAAAATGGAGTCCCATGGGCTAAGCCCCATATCAGCAAACCAAGACTTAGTACCTAACCTAGCTGTATATCCAGCCTCTCCAGGGCCTGTGGTCTTTAACCAGTCAATCTGGAGCCACTTGGTCAGCACTAGTGGGGTAACCCGCCTGAAACACCCCTTGGGTCCCCAGAAGGAAGGTGACCTTGTCCGAAACAATTCCCGTCTTTGTCCGAAGAACTTCCTCGCCCTGCCTCTTCCACCTATAAACGTCTTCCATTGTGCGCAGCTCCTTGGAGCTTCTGTCTGCTACGTGGGATGCTGTCCGATCCATGAATCTTGGATAAGGCCAATTGATCAACATGGACTCGGCTGGATGTGGGGTTTTAACCACAGCTTTCCCTTTCCCAGCTACGCCATCGCACTCTTCGGCATGGCAGCCGGGAGGAACCAGGCTCAGCCCTGCCTCGAACACACCAGCCACCTGCTAGTCGCATCTGTGTCCCCCTTTCACTTTCCCTCAGATTCACCTTTCTCTTGCCCTGGGCACGGCCAAGTTCGCCATCTTCCTCTTCTTCCACTCCCCACTGCCTGTGGGTCATCTTACGTAGACCTTCTACAACAACCTCCCAAACCTCACTTTCATCATAAATAATCTTCTCAAGAACTGCCCATGATTCCCTATTGTTTTAGATCAAACTTTAGGATTCAGTAATAAAAACCCTTATTAAGAATAATAAATAGGGCTCTGGGGCGCCTGGGTGGCTCAGTCGGTTGAGCACCCAGCTCTTGATTTCAGCTCAGGTAGGTCATCATCTCAGGGCCATGGCATCGAGCCCCGCGTCAGGCTCCACACTAAGAGCACAGAGCCTGCTTGGGATCCTCTTTCTCCCTCTCTTTCTGCCCCTCCCCCACTCGCTCTCATCCTTTCTCTGTCTTCTCAAAATAAGTAAATAAAACACTTAAATTAAAAAACGTTGAAAAGAATAACAAATAGGGTTCTGTGGTTAAATAAACTAGTGAAACATTCACAAATTATAACTATTCTTTAAAGAACAGTGTACTCTGGTGTATTAAATGCTCTGAGAAGTCCTGCAGTAAAGCAAACATACTTCAAATTTGTTTACTCTACAGTTTCCATATTTATTTGAACACATAACATCATTTCTTAAGTAGTCCATCAACATCACATGGGTCGAGTGTTCTAAGAACACTTTGGGAAATGGCGTTGTAATGTCTGCTTTTGAAAAACCGACACAAAAATCTTTCTCTAGGGCTTTTCTTATATTTTTTTTTTTTATCTGCAAAAATCCTGTTTGGTCCTATAATTTCACTTTTGCAAGACCTTTTACTGCCTCCTTTGCCCTGGGCTAATAACACACAACAAGGAGGAGAATGAAGATGATACCAGCTAACATTTTCACAAGACGTCCGCCTCTACGCTTCATAAGCACCAGGTAAGCAGTTGGGGCATAACAGCTCCAGAAACTTTCCAGGCCTCAAATTATCCCACCACAGTGCAAAGCAAAAAGGGACAGTGCAAAGCAAAAAAGGGACGGGAAGGGAGTGGTTCTCCTCGCCCTGGGGTGGTTCACCTTCAACCTTTGGCCCCTGTCCGTCTGCATTTGTGCACTTAAGAGGCATCTCAGCAAATGAACTTAGATTTTGATTGTTTTTTTTTTAATTTTTTTTTATTTCCATCTGGAAAACCAAATACGGATCAGAGATTTTTACCCACCGGGGAAGTTTCTCCACTGGGATCCTGGCATCCTGAGCTTCAGGTTCTGGAGCCCTGGAGTAAGTGATGTTAGTAAAGAAACAATGACATTGGTATAATCAAAGAACAGAGAGAAAACATAACGTAAGTCTGTATATTCGCCTGGCGGTATACAGCTCCCAAACTCATAGTTAATACAAGCTGACTTAGAAGGGTACTGGAAGGGCAGGCACCACACAGTTAACAACCAGTGATTTTATGTCAGAAAAGGGAATTTGCATGTGGGGAAGGGGCGGAGCCACCAGGATGTTAAGGGGGAGCTTCCTGATATGCACTGTATACCTCATCATTGGAATCTTCTGCGAGGATACTGGATTCATATATTACCTATATAATTTATCCTGATTTAAAATGGCCAGGTAAGGGGCATCTGGGTGGCTCAGTTGGTGAAGCGTCCAACTTCAGCTCAGGTCATGATCTTAAGGCTTGTGAGTTCAAGCCCCGTATCAGGCTCTGTGCTGACAGCTCAGAGCCCGGAGCCTGCTTTGGATTCTGTGTCTCCCTCTCTCTGCCCCTCCCCTGCTCACACCTCTGTCTCTCTCTCTCAAAAGTAAATAAACATTAAAAACATTTTTAAAAAAATTTTTTAAATGGCCAGGTAAATTTTTTCTCAATATTTCGAGTCTACTCTTATTTTTTTCCCTAGTTATAACAGTACATGCTCATCACAGAAATGTTAGAAAAACTCCAGAAAGATATAAAGAACTAATCAAAATTACCCATAACCCCACTATTCTTGATAATCACTGTTAATATTTTGTTGTCTTTTCTTCTGGTCTGTTATCTCTATATACCAGGTATACCCACATGGGGTGTGCGTGTGTTTGTATGAGTGTGTGTGTGTGTGTGTGTGTGTGCACGTGCATGTGTTTAAATATGAAGTTTGGATCGTATTAGATAAGAGTTAGGTCCTGTGGTTTTCACTTAGCATTGTAAATTTTGAGCAAAATAGTTCTTTTATCCTATGGCTGTACTGTAACCTAGTCTCATTTCTCCTAACTATCCACAGGAATCTTAGGCTACTGTTCAATTTCCTTCCGTTTATGTTCAACTTAAAAGAGAAAACAAAGTACACTTATTCCGTAGAGCAGTGTCTTTACCCTTTTCCCAGTAAAGCTGGACAAATGGGACTCTTGTAATTCTCCACCACAACTCCACAAGAGGTACATCGGGTTTTAAATAAGCTACCTGAAAAACACAAGTTAAACAAGACCGGAATTTAGCATAATTAGAAGGAATTGTCTCCATGTCTAAAGGGGTACAACAGAATTTAGTTTTTATTCGTTCATTTCAACAAACGGGCCTGCCCTAGGTGTCAAGGGAAATCCAAAGGCACGCAGTTCTACTGAGCCACGGACATCTGCCTCCTGGATTTTGTAATCTGGAAGGGAGAGAGACAGATAAAATGACTTACGGCATGATTAAGGAGCTCTCAAATGATCCTGATGTTGAGGCGGACTTGAAGGTGGTCAGTAGGGTACATGAAGCCAGTGTAAACCCAAGGGCGTGGTTTACTAGGTACATGACTGACGAAGGCTCAAAACGTTGGATGTATTGGCAAAATCCTACCGTCGACTCAACAAATCTTGAGTCTTTCTACAAAAGCAGCTCAGTAAATACATGAGCAACTAACAAGTGAAGCAAGTAATTGTTAAAACTAGCAACCCATTTATTGAGCTAAAGCAACGACGGTGACCACGATTCACTAAATGTTCACCACGCACCAGAGTGGACGTCCACTGCTCCATTCTGCCCAGTATTCCTTCCTCGGGGAGCCATCTCTCCTCTATCCCGAGTGGGTGGAGCTGTCAATCCCATCCCCAAATACAAGCTTAGGCTCACGCCCCCGACTGGTCCAATCACGGTACCGTAATCCTCTGGCAATGGCCTTCGGTCACAGGGAGGTATGTGACCCAAGCAAGGTGCCCAGAGCGGCCAACAGCTCCCTTCACTGGCCTGGCGCACGGAGGCAGACCGCATGCACGGGGAGAAGTGAGGTTTTATTCAAAGAGTCAACAAAGCTGGGGTGGGGGGCAGAGCAAGAAGAGACTGTTGCTCACGACATCAGCTCCAACCCGGGACTCCCGGGTTCTGTGAGACAACATCCCTACTTTGTCAGTTTCGGCAAGGCCATTCTCCCCCACGTTAGTATCTCTGAAATCGCATGTGTCCTACGACCGCTACCCGGCGGGAGGACGGATGTGAGGCGGCCGTCAGAGCTGGCACACCTGTTACAGGAGAACGATGATGGCTGAAACGTGTGGGGACATGGCTGTTATTCCCCAGGGACTGCTGGGGCAAGGGCCAGCCCTGGATGTTTCAGCCCACAAACAAGCAAAGGGCCATTTGGGGGAAGAAAACGAGTTCGGGTTGTTGTCTAGAACATTCCCCCCGACACCTGTTGGTGTCGATCCAGGAAGGCCCAATATCAGACTTCCAGGATGTGTGTCGGCAGCTTGGAGGGGAACCCGGAGACGAGCGGGGAGCAGCCTTTTAGGAAATGCGTGGAAAACACGCCTGGAAAACACTGACGCCTTGGAGTCATTCAGAAGTGATTCGAAAGAGTCGGAACGTGAGAAGTATCTTAACCACTTTATTTCACTCATTTTCATATGCGCATTTTTATATTTCACTGTTTTTTATATGTGCAAGGGTGATACAGTTTCTAAAAATCTGTGTCTATGTAAGTTTTAGTAGGCCATTTCGGTAAGTAAAAAATAACAATGCTCAGGGATAATAAAATATGATGGCTTAGGCAGACTATTTCCTTTGCGAGGGTCACACTGAAAACACGATACATGTTAAAATTTGGTGGCATCTTTAGTTTGATGAAAGAAGGGGCTTTCTTTTTTTTTTTTTTTTACCTAAATCAGAATTTTTTTTGAATGTTTATTTTTGAGAGAGAGAGAGAGAGAGGCAGAGAGAGAGAGAGAAAGAGACAGAGTGTGAGCAGGGAAGGGGCAGAGAGAGAAGGGAGACCCAGAATCCAAAGCAGGCTCCGGGCTCTGAATGGTCAGCACAGAGCCCAACGCAGGGCTTGAACTCATGAACCGTGAGATCATCAACTGAGCCGAAGTTGGCTGCTCAACCAACTGAGCCACCCAGGCGCACCTGTTTTTACCTAAATTAGAAGAGAGTTCTTATCGCTTGCAACCCCGTAAGTCCCAACTAATAATATGTACATATCATCTTATTTAATCCTTCAAACAACCAAGACAGGTGTTAACACCCCCATCTGACACATTTATACATGGCAAGAGACACCGCCTGCATTCTGATAGTGTAAAGAAACCAGAGGAGCCACATGGACAGTGGCCCAGACCAGCAGGAGAAGGTGCCAACAAGACACTGGGTCAGCAAGTGGCTGACTATGGCTAGGGCACAAAAGAGGGACGGGACCCAAGTGAACAGTGCTCGGTTTCCATTATCCCAGGCAAAAATAGGCAACTTCACTGCATACCCAAGGAAACCAGCCACATTCCCCCCTGGGTCACCACTGCTGGAAATTCCACAATTAGCAATGCGTGGCTTGGGATGGAAGTTTTGTAGACTCTTAAATACAAATGCCCTTGGGATTATGCTCTTGTATGAATGAATGTGAAACTGTATGAGTTTACGAGATTTTTGGTAAGCTCAAAGGAGGGAGAGGATTAAAGAGGACGTGAGGGAGACGGTGTCATCAAGGGCAGAGGGAAGCCAGCGGGACGTAAGACAAACTCCACAGGTGTCACAAACCTGGCGGGCTTGGTCACTGATCTGTTGAGAGCTGGGCAGAGGCTCAGCCTCAGGGGACAGGCCAGCTGGGGAGGCGGGGAAAGGAAACGGCCACCCCCCAGGAATGCCAGAGTCTTCCCGGGCGGCTCCTGCCAAAGCCGTAAGTTGTTCGATGGCCCAAACTTCCCTCTTCCCACCAGCCTCCCTAGGCACTCGCGTCTCTGCCGTGTGACCCGCACACCAGACGCCTGGGTGTCCTGTCAAAGTGCAGACTGTGGTTCGGTGGGTCCAGGTGGGAAATGGCAGGACACGTGTTTTGAAGTCTGGTTCCCCTCCCCACGCAAGGGCGCCTCACCGTGGATTTCCAGAAGGTTCTTGGTGCCAGCCTTGCGGTGCAGCTCATCGATGTTTTGAGTGATGACCACAAGCCGGCGGCCCTGCCCACGCAGCCGGGCCTCACATTCAGCGATGGCGAGGTGCCCGGGGTTCGGTTCCTTGCTCAGCATCACCTCCCGCCGGTAGTGGTAGAACTCCCACACCAGGGATGGGTTTCGCGCAAAGGCCTGAGGGGTGGCCAGGTCCTGGGGGTGAGACAGGAGACACGAGTCAGAGAAGGAAGGGTGCACTAAGGCTCTGGAACGTGGAGGCAGGCGGCTTCCGGGGGGAGCGAGCTGGAACACATCCGCCTTAGGCCCACGCGGTGTGGCGGACGGGGCACAGGGGCCTGGGCGCCAGCCTCCGTCCTAACCCTGGGACCAACAAGGGACCTTGAAGAAACTGCTTTTCATTTCCCCACTTCCAAGGCAGGGATAATGCAACCTGTCCCATTTTCCACTCGAGTAAATTATGACCAGGAAGTAAAGCAATATTATGCAAGAAAGTAATTCAGGTTGAATCTACTCTTTTCATGGAGTCCCAAAACATATGAGGTCCCTTTCATTGATGCAGGAAAAAAAGTGAAATACAAAATGATGCCCGATTGATCATGGCCACAGTTGACAAACTCAGTTTTTTATAACTATAATTATGGCTCCGCACACACACACAACTACACACAGAAAGAACAGGGGCGCCTCGGGGGCTCAGTTGGTCAAGCATCTGATGGTTGGTTTCGGCTCAGGTCACCATCTCATGATCGCAGGTTCATGAGCTCGAGCCCTGCATCGGGCTCTGGGCTGACAATGCAGGGCCTGCTTGGGATTCTCTCCTTCTCTCTCTTCCTCCCTCATTCTCCCACTCTCACTCTCCAAATAAATAAACTTCAAAAAAAAAAAACAAAACAGTGCACATATTAACAGAATATATAAAAATATATTTTTAAAGTACGATTCCTCTTCTAGGAGAGAAAAGTCTCATCTACCGTGAAAGAGAGAAGGGTAGTCGTTGTCTGGGGCTGCGAGCCTATGAGGAAAGGGCAAAAGGGAGCCTCTGGCAATGACCGAAACATTCTAGATCTTCATTGCGGCGGTGGTGGTGTTCTGCCTTTCGTTTTACCTTCGAGGGTCACTCTTCCACCTGCTAATAGTGTCAGCCTTCACTTGGGGAGTGAATGGGGAACAAACATCTACGCCGTGGATCATCGACATCCACCCTGTACTTCCCCACAAACCCTGAGCTGTTTTGACGCTTCTGACTATCCTCTCCTCTCAAAGCACCCCCCGAGACCCTCCGAGCCCCCCCACCCCCTGCCTCTCTGCTTCAGCGGCTGCTCTCTGAGCCTCCTCTTTCTCCCGGGACCCTAATGGCCCTCTGCCCTCCTTCCCCCACTCCTTCATCCTTAAGGCAACGGTCCCCACAGCTACAGCCACAGGCTCACCTGGAGGGCAGCAGAGAGGTGACAGAACATCCTGAACATCTGCCAGCCGGGGGCATGTGACAGGGCAGGAAAGGCAGCTTCATCAGCCCTTCATTTAACAAGAAACTACCTACGAAATGTGGAATTCGTGCACTGAAGTAACTATGCACGATGGCCTCCATTCACCCAACGGAAGTCTATCAAGCACTCACGTGTGCCAGAGTTCAGGGAGCTGGGGATAGAGCAATGCGTAAAACAGATGGGGGTGTCTGGGGGGCTCAGTCGGTTCAGCGTCTGATTTCAGCTCAGGTCATGATCTCAAGGTTCGTGAGTTTGGGCCCCCTGCGTTGGGCTCTCTGCTGTCAGCGGGGAGCCTGCTTCAGAGCCTCTGTCTCCACCCACCACTGCCCCCCACCCTGTGTTCTCTAGCTCTCTGCCCCTCCCCCACTCACACTCTCCCTCTCTCTCTCAAAATAAATAAATAAATAAATAAACATTAAAAAAAAAAAAAGGGCAGACAAAACTTCCTGGCCTCCAAAACTTGGGATTTCCTGAGCCAGGGGGGAGAGCAGGAGGCTGACTGCAAAAGGCCTGAAGTTATATTCCGGGTCCATGATCATGGTCATGGCTACGCTACGGGACACACTTGCCAAAACTCATTAAATGGCACGCTTTCAAACTGGTGAATTTTATTGTATGTACAGTTGACCCCTGAACAATGTGGGGTAAAGGGCAGCGACCTCTGTGCAGTAAAAAATCTTGCGTATAACTTTTGATTCCCCCAAACTTAACTACTAACAGCCTACTGTTGACTGGAAGCCTTACTGATAAAATAAACAGGCAATTAACACACATTCTGCATGTTACGTGTATTGCATAATGTAGTCTTACAAGAAGGTATGCTAGAAAAAAGAAAATGCTATTAAGAAAATCCCAAGGGAGAGCAAATACATTTACAGTACTGTACGTATCGATACCCAAAGTACATTGTCCATTCACAACGTGAATCACCTGTCATGATCTACATCAATATTCTTATATATGATACAAAACACTGTAGATGCTCTACATATTACTAACGGTAGACATCAAAAAATAAAAGAGGGGCACTGGGGCGGCTCAGTTGGTTAAGGCATCAGACTCTTGATCTGAGCTCAGGTCATGATCTCATGGTCCTGAGATGGAGCCCTACACTGGACTCCATGCTGGGCGTGAAGCCTGCTTGAGATTCTCTCCCCTTCCCCCGCTCGTGTGCACACACACTCTCTCTCTCTCTCTCTCTCTCAAAATGAATAAACATTAAAAAACACGTAAAAGGCAATGTGAAAAGTTCGTATTTATTCACACATAACACAATTCATACGTCAGTAATGAAGCAGCAGCAATGACTGAAATGGATACGATTGCTCCGCGGTAGCTAGCCCGTACACTGGGTGAGGAGTTATAACATCTTTACGGCATACGGTATCACAATCATATTCATAACAGTGTTAGAAACACTTTAAAAAAAAAAAAACCACTTGCCTGTGGCGATAGGTTGATAAACGGTTTCTCAAATTGTAAGAGACGCTCACTGTAGTGTACTGTAATTCTTTGAAAGCAACGTTCGAGAACCGTGAGGAAACTAACACCTTATGAACCTCATGTTAACTATCACTCACTTTATGCCTCTGTACGGGTGGGCGATGCACTTCCATGCAGGTGAACACAGGAAGCCGTACACGATGAATTCTTGGGTGATAATTGGGATGACACGAGACACTTCCTATGGTCTGAGCCCTACGGTTATGAGGTTCTCACACGAAGACACACGCATGCATGATGGGCCGGCTTATCAACTGTGTGGCGCCATGATTATTTATTATTCCCTAAGTGGAAGCGGGTCATCATAAAGTCTCCATCCTCATTGCCTTCCAGAAGGCTGGGGCGGGGGAGGAGGACGGGGTGGGGGGGTCTTGCTGTCCCAGCGGCATCAGGGGAGGGAGCGGTGGGGGAGGTGGAAGGGGAGGCTGGAGAGGCAGGCACACTGGGTGTGAGTTCATAGAAATACATCGTAATCTCTGCCCAACTTTTTTGCCTTTTCATTTCTCTCAAAATGGTTCCATACAGAACCAATTCTTCCTCCACCATTCACTTTAGGGACAGTGCCCAAGTCCGTCTTGTAAAAGAAGTCAAGGGGCGCCTGGGTAGCTCAGCTGGTAGAGCGTCCAACTCGTGATCTCAGCTCAGGTCATGGTCTCATGGTTGGTGAGTTCAAGTCCCACATCCGGCTCGATGCTGATGGCGCTGAGCCTGCTTGGGATCCTCCCTCTCCCTCTCTCCGCCCCTCGCCAAGTTGTGTTCTCTCTCTTTCTCTCTCTCAAAACAAATAAACTTAAAGCAATTTTTTAAAAAGCAGTCTTGAATCATCAGAACGCTTTTGCCAGACTGTCTAACATCAGTTTGTCTCCTGTGCTCCTTTTGCATCTTCTTCCTCACTGTCTGGCACTGGTTCCAAGGCTCTCATCTCCATCACGTCGACTCCTGTGGGTGCCTCTGGCGTGTGTCTGTTAGCGCTCGAATTTCTCCAAGATCCAGATCTTAAAACCCTTTATCTCCCTCCCGCCCCTCCGCCATTTTTGCCAGACCCATAATCTTTCTCATGGTTTCCCCGAGGGGCTGCGTGATAAATCCCAAGAAGTCACACACAACGTCTGGACTTTTCTCCAACAGGAATTTATTGTTTCGGGCTTGGTGGCTCTCGCGGCTTTTTTCTGTAACGACGATGGCACCTTCACTGGTGAAATCCTTCCAGACTTCTGTGACGCTCTCTGTTGGGGTTCCCTTCCACAGCGTTGACAATCCTTTCCATAGGACACCGTGTGTAGTGAGCATTAAAGGTCCTTCTGACCCCTGATCTAGAGGCTAAATTAGAGACGCTGTGTTTGGAGGTGAGGAGATCAGTTTGAAGCCTTCGGTGTTGAACTCACAGGGTTCTGGGATGGGGTACCGTCTGAAATCAAAGATACTTCATCAGGGACCCACCCAGAAAAAGGATTCTTGGTGTCCAGGCCTTCTTCTTGTACAAGATAAAGACAAGAGAATATTTATATTCTCCCTTCAGAACTTGGGGGTTAGCGGCTCTCTAGAGAAGGGCTGTCTGATCAGAAACCCGACTGCGTTTGTACAAAACCATAGAGTTAGCTTATCCCTTCTGGCCTTAAATCCTGGCGATCACTTCTCTTTCCTACTAGTAAATGTTTTTTGTAGCATTTTTTCCCCTAGAATAGGGCACTTTCATCTATGTTAAAAACCTGTTTGGGCAGACATCCTTTCTCCTCAATGATTCTCTTAACGGCATCTGGGAACTTGTCTGCTGCCTCTTGGTTGACAGAAGCTGCTTCCGTTCATTTATTTTTGAGAGAGAGACAGAATGTGAGCGGGGAGGGGCAGAGAGAGAGGGAGACAGAATCCAAAGCAGGCTCCAGTCTCTGAGCTGTCAGCACAGAGCCTGACGCAGGGCTCGAACTCACGAACCCTGAGATCATGACATAGGCCCAAGGTGGACGCTCAACCGAGCCACCCAGGCACCCCGACCTTGGCATTTTTTAAAGCCAAACCTCTTTCTGAGGTTATCAAACCATCTCCTGCACTAAAGTCTCCAGCTTTAGGTCCTTTGCTTTCTTTGTGCTCTAAGTTGTCATAGAATGATGTCACTTTCTCCCGAATCAGCTTAGTCCACAGGTATGCCTTTCTTACGGCAATCCTGAAACCGTATAGAAGCTGCGTTTTCTTTTTTTTTTTTTTTAATGTTTATGTATTTATTTTTGAGAGCGAGCAAGCACGAGCGGGTGAGGGGCAGAGAGAGGGGGAGAGAGAGAGAGAATCCGAAGCAGGCTTCGCACTGTCAGCGTGGAGCCCGATGGCGGGGCTCAAACCCACAAACTGTGAGATCATGACCTAGCTGAGATCAAGAGTCAGAGGCTTAACTGACTGAGCCACCCAGGCGCCCTAAAGCTGCATTTTCAATACAAGATACAAACATATTTCATCCAAAGTGCAAGGTTTTTGCGTCTGCTGGTATAGCTACAGCAATGGCTTCATGATTTATTTTTTCTTTTCTTTAAAAATTTTTTAATGTTTTATTTACTTTTGATACAGGAGAGACAGAGCATGAGTGGGGGAGGGGCAGAGAGAGAGAGAGAGAGAGAGAGAGAGAGAGAGAGTGAGTCCCAAGCAGGCTCCGTGCCGTCGGTGCAGAGCCCAACAGGGGGCTCAAATCCACAAACTGTGAGATCGTGACCGGAGCCAAAATCAAGAGTTGATCACTTAACCAACTGGGCCACCCAGACATCCTATGTCACACCATATTTTAAGCAGATACTCGCAACACGTGAGCTCACGGCAGCAGCCACAGGAGGTGGCTACGAAATCACTACAGAGGTATCGTGTGCACTGCAGTTAGTTTTACGTAGTTATGATTTAACACTGTATCTTCACATGTGTTTACGTTGCTCTAGACTACGAATGGCACCATACAGGCTCTGCATTTGCGTGCCTAAGTTCTGGCAAATTTAACTTTTTGCAATAAATTTGCATGGTAGTAAATGATAAAAGACAGACTAGAACCCACATGTATTTTATGCATTCACGACATGCCTAACTTTGTCTTTGATTTTTAGAAATTTCTAGAAATTTCGGGGCTCATGTGAGAGTTTTTTCAAACTGTCGCAAATCTCTAAAAAGTTTTACACTATGTATAAAAAAAATCTGCACGTAGGTGGATCTGCACAATTCAAATCTGTGTGGTTTGAGGGTCATCTGTATATTATACCATAATACAAGTCTGTTTTTATTTTATTTTATTTTTTTTTTATAAATTTTTTTTTCAACGTTTATTTATTTTTGGGACAGAGAGAGACAGAGCATGAACGGTGGAGGGGCAGAGAGAGAGGGAGACACAGAATCGGAAGCAGGCTCCAGGCTCCGAGCCATCAGCCCAGAGGCCAACACAGGGCTCGAACTCACGGACCACGAGATCGTGACCTGAGCTGAAGTCGGACGCTTAACCGACTGAGCCACCCAGTCGCCCCCGTATAAAGTTTTTAAATGTCGAGCCCTAAGCCTTCAAAACTGCAACTTTGGTTTCAAACATGAAAGTTCACAGGAACTTTAAAAATTTGTAATACTTGGGGTGCCTCGGTGGCTCAGTCAGTTAAGCATCTGACTCTTGGTTTCAGCTCAAGTCATGATCTCACGGCTTGTGAGTTCCAGCCCCATGTCGGGTTATGAACTGACAGTGCGGAGCCTGCTTTGGATTCTCTCTCTCCCCTTCTTTCCTTGCCCCTCCCCCACTCGTGCTGCCTCTGTCTCTCTCAAAATAAATAAATACACTTAAGAACTGTGTTAATACTTAATTTCAAGATCTATAGAAAAGTAATGAGCTATGCTTAGCACGACTTTTCTGACTCCACTTTAAGTTAGAGAAGAAATCGAAATTGTTACACGAATAAATGCGATCTGTACATATCTAGAAAGTAAGGAAAGTGGCTGCTTTGCTTATGCCTGAGACCCTAATCACACAGACTTTGTGTTGAGGCCAAAACGAATAAGGACAAGAGTCATGGTCAATTTCGAATCTTTTTTCCCTCTGGGCCAGGCATCAGGCTCTGAGTCAAACTGTGCTTCCTTCAGTAGAACCTCTCGGTATTCTGGAAACATCACTCACCTGAGCTTGCCATGTTCTCCAATAGCCCCCAGCTCCTCTGAAGGTCGGAACCCCACTCTCAGCACTAACACCAGCCCCCGAAATGATGACTATGTGCTTTGCTTTTGCAAAGAACTTCCGAAAATCAGCCATACCTAAAGAGAGCATAAAATCTTTATAAATCCACCGTACCGTTTGGACATTTATATTCTGTATCAATCGTTCATATTTTGACTTGACCTTGCGTGAAATTATATTTTAGGACACCCAAATAAAAATCATTCCGATGCCACGAAGATGCCACCCGTGTGGCCTGATGTGAGACCGTATAGCGTCTTAAGAAAGAAGCAGGCTGGGGCGCCTGGGTGGCGCAGTCGGTTAAGCGTCCGACTTCAGCTAGGTCACGATCTCGCGGTCCGTGAGTTCGAGCCCCACGTCGGGCTCTGGGCTGATGGCTCAGAGCCTGGAGCCTGTTTCCGATTCTGTGTCTCCCTCTCTCTCTTCCCCTCGCCCGTTCATGCTCTGTCTCTCTCTGTCCCCAAAATAAACAAACGTTGGAAAAAGAAAATTAAAAAAAAAAAAAAAAGAAAGAAGCAGGAACAGGAGCCTGGGTGGCTCAGCCGGTTGAGCGTCCAACTCTTGATTTTGGTTCAGGGCAGGATCTCACGGGTTCGTGGGTTCCAGCCCTGCATCAGGCTCTGCATTGTCTGCTCGGATTCTCTCTCTCCTCTCTCTCTCTGCCCCTCGCCCACAGGCATGCTCTCTCTCTCTCCAAGTAGATAAACTTAAGGAAAAAAAAAGTAGGGGCTTCAGGCACATGACACTGGCTTCCGATCTCAGCTCTGCCTCCCATCCATCCACCTGTGAGATCCGATGCAAACAAGTGGCCTCTGCGGCCCTAGCTGTTTGACGTGCACAGTACTGCCTTCCCCAGAGCAGGCTCTCGCAGGGGTTTTTAGCAGCTAATGGATGGGACGCATCCTCCTTCCTAACAGTAAAAACAAGCTAGTGTAGGAGGGTTCACCTCAGGCCCACTGGACCCCTTCCTCCCCAAATCCCCTTCCCTTTGGGGATCTTGCTAATTGCAGCGTCCCCTCGGCATCATTACAAGCTGAGGGTGAGGCTCCCTCCCCTGTGAACAGATGCTCAGCTCCAAACCTGGACAACGTTCTTTACAACTCGAGCAACAGTTGGATCTTTCAGCAAGACATCACCAGGGACTTGGGGTCACAAAAAGCAGGTGAACCCGGAGCATAACCGGAGAGCAGGTCACAGACTACAGCTGGCTCGCTGTCTGGGATGGGGGGCCTTGTTCTGTACCTCCAGGCCTTCTCCCTCTCCAGCTCTGACCAACAGAGGCAGCAGCAACCGTCCTTCAGTGAGGGCGCGCCACGCCCCAGGCTCCGCACCAAGCACCGTGTGTGGACCACAAGGGAGAGTCCGCCCTTGCAATAATGTCCTCGTCCCTGGTTAAGAATGACTTGGTGACGCCATTGAGTGGTGCTGGGGCCCCCAGAGGCCGGGCCCAAGCGGTGCAGAGCTGAGCACAAGCTGTCAGGAGAAGAGAAACTCCCCCTTCTGCCCTCGCCCTCCCGCTGGAGAGGCAAAAGCCAGACCAACACTGCTTGTGGCCCCTTGACACTGACGTCTTCTGGGAGTGGCTAACCTGGGCTCCTGCTCTGCAGATTCTCGCAAAAGAGCAGACGAGTTCTTCAGCGGATGCAGACAGAAGGTTTTCTGGTCTCCTGCTGGAGGCAGTGGTGACCAAGGTTGACCCCTGGACGGGATGAGCATCCCCTGAGAGATGGCGCCCATGACAGGAGGATGGGAGAAAGGATAGCAGGATGGGGGCGGAGAGACAATGAACTTAGACATGAAAGGAATGTGACTTCATTCTGTGCCCCAGGCTGGGAAGACAGATCCTGCTGGTTTCTCATACATCCACGACGCCTCCCTTCCAAGCCCAGAGTCACCTCCACGCCTGGCCCAGGGTGAGAATCTCAATAAAGACCCAACCTGCCCTCCCCGTCCCTTCCTCTCCGGCTGCTGGTAAGAATGCACAGGGAGTGAAAACAGACTCTCAGAAGCAAAGACGCAGAGGCTCACTACTCCCTCTCCTACCACATTCCTGAAGCTTCTCCGGGACCACATTTCTGGCAGCACAAAGCTCAAAGGACTGAACATGGTGCTGGCACACTGTTCCTGGGGTATAACCAGCCCGACCACTTGCCAACCACACCAAAGCTCAGCCCACGCTCACGTCCCTTTCGGAGATAGACCACCGTGAGAAATGAAGCCCACTAAAGCTGACCAACCAGGAGAAAAGGAACCCCGTCTGGGTAGATTCGGGTTTGCAGTCTGATCTAATCCCCTGAAAGAACAAGACGCTTCATAAGAAAACGGGCAAGTATTTTACTCGGGGCCATTTGTGCGACTCCTGGGTTCAAACCCTACAAAGATCCTCAAGGACTTCAAAGTTCGCCCATAAAACTTTCCCCAGCCCTAAGAGTCTTTTTCACCTGAAATGTAAACTCTTGTCATCCCACTGATGAAAAGATCCCAGGTCCAAGTGACTCCTTTAAAAGGTCCCACTTTAGGGGCGCCTGGGTGGCGCAGTCGGTTAAGCGTCCGACTTCAGCCAGGTCACGATCTCGCGGTCCGTGAGTTCGAGCCCCGCGTCGGGCTCTGGGCGGATGGCTCGGAGCCTGGAGCCTGCTTCCGATTCTGTGTCTCCCTCTCTCTCTGCCCCTCCCCCGTTCATGCTCTGTCTCTCTCTGTCCCAAAAATAAATAAAAACATTGAAAAAAAAAAAAATTTTTTAAAAGGTCCCACTTTAAAAGCAATGTCTAGAAACTAAAAGGGCAACTTAGGTTTGGTTCTTGGAAAACAGGATGTAAGATATAATACTGTTAATGTGGTGCGAAATCCTAAAAGAAGAAAGAGGAGGAGGAGAAAAGAAAAGAAAAAAGAAAAGAAAAGAAAAGAAAAGAAGAAAAAAGAAGAAGAGAAAAGAAAAAAGAAAAGAAGACAAGAAAAGAACATTTCCTAACTACCATAGGAAAACACAGCAGGACACTTTGCACTTCCAAACCCAGACAGCCCGCTCTGGGCAGAAGCCAGGCACAACCGTGGGTCTCACTACAGCCTCTAGCAGCCTGCCCTGTTCTCCACAGCCAGGAGCACCAAGGGATTGGGTTTTTCTTTTTTTTTTTTATTTCTGAGGGTGGGCAAACAGAAGCAGGGGCCGTTATGTCTGAGCACACTTGCAGGATTAGAAAAATCCAGAAGTTGAAAATGAGGCAAAAAGAGGTCAGCTTGGCCTTTCAATGCCACCCTGGATTCAGCACTCTTGAACAGGCTCATCCAAGGTCCTTTTAGTATATAAATCTGTTAGACTCTATACTCCCTGCAGACAAATCCTACCTCGGGGCGCCTGGGTGGCTCACTTGGTTAAGCGTCCAACTCTTGATTTCAACTCAGGCCATGATCTCACAGTTCATGAGATGGAGCCCCACATCGGGCTCTGTGCTGCCATCACGGAGCCTGCCTGTAACTCTCTCCCTCTCTCTCTCTCTCTCTCTCTCTCTCTCTCTCTCTGTCTGCCCCTCCCCAGCTTGCTCTCTCTCTCAAAATAAATAAGTAAACTTAAAAAAAAGTCGTTATCAAGGGGTGCCTGGGTGGCTGAGTCGGTTGAGTGTCCGACTTCCGCTCAGGTCATGATCTCATGGTTCGTGGGTTTGAGCCCCGCATCAGGCTCTGTGCCGACAGCTGGGAGCCTGGAGCCTGCTTGGGATTCTGTGTCTCCCTCTCTCTCTGCCCCTCCCCCACTCACACTCTCCCTCTCTCTCTCTCTCTCAAAAATACACATTAAAAAAAAAATTTTTTTTTAATCTATCTCTGAAGTAGAAAATCTACTCCACATTACCCTGTAGGACAGTCTCCTGCTTTCCCCTCCTGCTGAGAGGTGAGGATTTTAAAGTACAAATCAGGGCGCCCGGGTGGCTCAGTTAGTTGAGCATATGACTTCAGCTCAAGTCACGATCTCACAGTTTGTGGGTTTGAGCCCCACGTTGGGCTTTGCACTGGCAGCTGGGAGCCTGCTTAGGATTCTCTCTGTCTCTCTCCCTCTCTCTGCCTCTCCCCTCCCCTCTCTCTCAAAAATAAACATTAAAAAAAAATTTAAATGCAAATCTTATGTGAGAAGCTTGAATGCAAACATTCTGGGAGAAGCAATAAAATGTCTTCAATGGGCTTGCACTTGACCTACTAAGAGATGATCCCAGATCCTGACCTGCAGGGGGCTTGCCTGAGGGCAGGAGGGCAGTGTGGCTTTCTCCAAAATCTTGCCCAGCACCCATTCCACTACAGACATTACCCCCTCAAAGTGTAGGAACATTCAGGTACTTTAAATTCCACCGGAGATGAAGGAGTGGCAGGCTGAGAAAGACCTACTTGAACTTGGTCGAGCCATCGTCGGGCAAATCCGGGTTCTGGTGGAGACTGGAGACTTCAGTCCACTATACAGCCAGGGGAGTAATCGACAGGGGACAATCTGAAGAGGTTGCATCAGGTTTTCTTTGTAGTCCTAACTCCAGAGATGGGCTTCAGAAAAAAAACACAGACACAAACAGAAACAGTCAACTTCTATCTCTACACGTGTATATAAAAGTAAGAAGGCCCTTGACAAAAATCATTAGTAACAGATCTTGAGGGGAATGTATCCTCTAAAGCAACGGTTTTCAGTCTGTGTTTTCAAGCTGTTCCAGGTGCCCTGGAGCAGTGGTTCTCAAAGACAGGTCCCCAGACCAGCAGCAGCACCTGAGATCTTACTAGAAATTGCAAAGTCAGGGGCTCCACCGCAGATCCACTGATTCAGAAACTTTGCAGGTGGGGCCCCCGTCTGTCTCCAAGTGATTCTGATGAATGTTCAGGTTTGAGAACCGCCGCCCTAGAGGCTTGGGAAGGGGTAAGATGTGAGAATTCATTCATAAAACAAGTTCTTCTGCTTTTTAAAACGTATGAAAAGGTGGGGCGCCTGGGTGGCGTAGTCGGTTAAGTGTCCGACTTCAACCAGGTCACGATTTCATGGTCCGTGAGTTCAAGCCCCGCATCGGGCTCTGGGCTGATGGCTCAGAGCCTGGAGCCTGTTTCCAATTCTGTGTCTCCCTCTCTCTCTGCCCCTCGCCCGTTCATGCTCTGTCTCTCTCTGTCCCAAAAATAAATAAACGTTGAAAAAAAAAAAAAGTATGAAAAGGTAAGAAAAAGGTGTGTCTTCTCAACTTTGGGTCAAAAGACAGTTTCTACGAGAAGGTAAACTCTGAGAACAGAACGAGGCAGGGAAGACACATACTATGACAACGAATGGGATCAAGATGACATCAGGTCAAAGGAACTTGTGACTTAAAGCACAGTTAGTAAATTCTTATCCATCCCTGAGGAAACATATAAAAGGGAAACAGACACAGAGAAAGACAATATTTAGATCAATGACATCAAAAGGGTAGTTGGCAGGGCTGACTTCTATCTAGAGGCCAAACTGTTGGACAGACTCAGAATGAAAAAGTCTGTAGATCCAGAAAATAGAAAAAGAACACATTTACCAAAACTTCATAATCCCTTTGGAAGGCAACCTATCAAGATTACAGACGCTGGGAAGGCAAGCTGGTGCAGCCACTCTGGAAAACAGTCTGGAGGTTCCTCAAAAAACTAAAACCTTACAACCCAGCAATTGCACTACTAGGCATTTCTGCACGGGATGCAGGTGTGCTGTTTCGAAGGGACACATGCACCCCGATGTTTATAGCAGCACTATCAACAACAGCCAAAGGATGGAAAGAGCCCGAATGTCCAATGGATGAATGGATAAAGAAGATGTGGTATATAGATACAATGGAGTATTACTCGGCAATCAGAAAGAATGAAATCTTGCCATTTGCAACTACATGGATGGAACTGGAGGGTATTATGCTAAGCGAAATCAGTCAGTCAGAGAAAGACAAAAATCATATGACTTCACTCACATGAGGACTTTAAGAGACAAAACAGATGAACATAAGGGAAGGGAAACAAAAATAACATAAAAACAGGGAGGGGGACAAAGCATAAGAGACTCATAAATATGGAGAACCAAGAGGGTTACTGGAGGGGGTGTAGGAGGGGGTATGGGCTAAATGGGTCAGGGGCACTAAGGAATCTACTCCTGAAATCATGATTGCACTATATGCTAATTTGGATGTAAATTTTAAAAAATAAAAGATAAAATATTAAAAAAAAAGATTACAAGTGCATTTTTCCCTTTGCCCTAGCAATCCCAAGTGAGGAAATTTGTAAAACCGTGAGACTTGCCCACATCCAAAATGATGAATCTGTAGGGTTGTTCTTTAGTTCAGTTTGACTAACAGCAGGAGACTGGAAACAACCTAACTGTCCACCTATGGGGGATGAGTTCAGTAAACACAATGGCACAGTCACAACATGCAGCTTGACAAAAAAGAAGGTACGTACGATTCTACCAATATGACATTTTGGAAGGAACAAAACTATGGGGACAGAAAATATGTCATGGTCACCTGAGCAGGGAGGAGTGAATACACAAAGGGGCGCAAGGGGATTTTGGGGGGTGATGGAATTGTCCTACAAGTTGATTATGGTGGCGGTTACGATTGTTGTCTGTCAAAACCCACAGAACACTACACAAAAAAAGGGTTCATTTTCCTGTATGTGAACTATAAAATAGTTTAAAAATAAAAGTAATGGGTATAGGGTTTCAGTTTTGTAAGATAAAGAGAGTTCTGGAGATTGGTTATGTAAAAACGTGAATGTACTTACTTAACACTATTGAACTGTACCCTTAAAAATGGCCAAGATGCTAAATGTTATGTGTCGTTTCCTATAATTTTTTTTTAAAAAAACAAATGGAGGCGCCTGGGGGGCTCAGTCGGCTGAACGTCCGACTTCAGCTTAGGTTATGATCTCACAGTCTGTGAGTTCGAGCTCCACGTCAGGCTCTGTGCTGACAGCTTGGAGCCTGGAGCCTGCTTCGGATTCTGTGTCTCCCTCTCTCTCTCTGCTCCTCCCCTGCTCATGCTCGGTCTCTCTGTGTCTCAAAAATAAATTAAAACATTTAAAAAAATTTAAAAAACACACAAATGAACCAAGTGATCACAGGTGATTTGCTGGCTGATTCCGTATTTAGAAGCAGACAGCTCCCTGACTCCAGAGTGAGGGCCAGTATCAGCGGAGCAGAGGATGTTCGGAGAGGTTAAAAATAAATGTCTGGAAGATGAGGCTCAAAACTCTGTTAGTGCCAAATCAGACTATTTAATTCCACAACTCAGTCCAGTATGCAGATGTCCCATGTTAAAAAAAAAAAGAATAAAGACATTGTCTCTAACCTTTTTTTTTTTTTTTTTTTTTAACGTAAGCACTATACCCAATGTGGGGCTTGAATTCACAACCTGGGTTCAACAGTTGGATGCTCTACCGACTGACCCAACCAGATGCCCCAAGACAGCCTCTCTAACCTGGAGAGACGTCTCCAGAATATAAATACTGTTTTGTAAAAGAAAGGGGATAGGAGGTACCATAGTACTACGGGACCACAGTACTCGTTGGCATTTGCGTTAAAAACGTGGAAGAGGGGCGCCTGGGTGGCGCAGTCGGTTAAGTGTCCGACTTCAGCCAGGTCACGATCTCGCGGTCCGTGAGTTCGAGCCCCGCGTCGGGCTCTGGGCAGATGGCTCAGAGCCTGGAGCCTGTTTCGATTCTGTGTCTCCCTCTCTCTCTGCCCCTCCCCCGTTCATGCTCTGTCTCTCTCTGTCCCAAAAATAAATAAACGTTGAAAAAAAAAATTAAAAAAAAAAAGTCACTAGGAATTTGAGGCGCCCGGGGGGCTTAGTCGGTTAAACGTCCAACCGTGGGTTTCGGCTTGCTTCACGATCTCACGGTTGGTGGAACGGGGTCCTGTGTCGGGAGGGCTCTGTGCTGACCGTGGGGAGCCTGCTTGGGATTCTCTCTCTTTCTCAAAATAAATAAACATTGTTAAAAGTCATTAAGCATTGTAAAGAATTTAAGGAAATAAGATCCAAGCAACAGAGGCATCAACCTAAAGCAGCTGGGAATACTGCTTTGTCTGTAGCTCTTTTGCACAAGGGTCTCAATGATGAGTCTTCTACTAAATAGCTATGAAATGAAAACAAATCTTTTTTTTCCCCCTATTTTTTCTTAAAAAAAAATATTTATTCATTTTGAGAGAGAAATAGAGAGAGCCCGAGTGAGCAGGGGAGGGTCGGAAGGGGAAAATCTTGATTTCTGCTCAGGTCATGATCCCAGAGTCCTGGGATCCAGTCCCGGGTTGAGTTCCACATGGAACGTGGAGCTTGCTTGGGATTCTCTCTCTCTCTCTCTCTCTCTCTCTCTCTCAAATAATAATCATCACAAAGTAGAAAAAAGTTTTACTTGATCATATTTCAATATTTCCAAAAATCACTAGTTTCTATTTTCTTTGCCCAGGAAATGCAATCAGCAAGTACTTCTTGGGAAGATAGCTTTAGTTCTTATGTGAATTATGCCAAATGTCCCCCCCACACACACATGCATGTATACATACACTCAAGGACTATAATACAATTAAAATACTTTCTAAACATCTATATTCTTTGTATTGCAAATCTTTTATCGTACTAACTTATCAATTTATTAGTAAAGTCTAAGTTTTCCTTTTTTTAAATGTTTATTTTGAGAGAGAGAGAGAGGGAGAGAACTAGCAGGCGAGGGACAGAGAAAGTGGGAGAGAGTATCCGAAGCTGATAGCGCAGAACCTGACATGGGGCTCGAACTCACAAACCATGAGATCATGACCTGAGCCAAAATCAAGAGTCGGACGCTTAGTCAACTGAGCCATCCAGGCGTCTCAGAATGCAAGTTTTTCATTGTCTATCTGAAGTAGTCAATCAGTGAGATAATTTCTGGTCTCACAAAACCCACTCCGCTTCCTGTTTTATTGGTGAACATCTCACATGATGTTTTTAATGAGTGGAGGAACCATTTTGCTAAGTTTTCCGTTAATTTAAAAGATGTTCTGCAAATCTTTCAGTGAATGTGCAGACTAGAGATTAAATACAGCAGTGCCACCTGAAATTTACTTCCAAGATTGGAAATGCTCAGAACACATGACTATTTTCAAGATACTCCCACAAAGTATTTATTGGAAACATCTTCTGTGCCAACATTTATCTGCTTTTCGGGGGGGGGGGGGGCTGGTCGGAGTGGTTTACCTTCTACAAGCTTACGACCCTGTTCAAGTGTAAAAGCAAATTCCTCTAAGCAGCACAGGCCACGGCCGGCCGTGCTGAGTCGGAGAATGGAGAACTCCATTACTCTGCCTTTTATCTTCAGGGTGGGAGACAGACCACAGGGGAGAAAATAAACTAACTCATCAAACAGTCATTGGGAACTTTCTGGGTGCAGGACTGGTTCCCCAAACAATGACATTCCTCTGGGTGAATGGCAGTTCCCTGTTTAACCAGACTTTTGAAATCACCTACTGAATTAGAAGAAAAGGACAACGTCTCTCTGTTCCCTGTGTATTTTTCAATGCTGAAAAATACTATAAATGAAAGGCTCCATCAGGAAGTCAAGAGAAAAACACTGATTTAAAATACGTAAGTATATTGCAAAGGAACCGCAAAAACCGACACAAATAATTTCTGAAACCCTAGGAGTTAAGTGCAATGTACCAGCCCCACTAGCACACTTATTCCCTCACCCCTCTACCAATTGCTCTTGTCAAGGCCACCAGTGACCTCCATCCACCTTGCTAAACCCAATGGTTGTCCGGATCCTCCTACTTGGCCACGTCCAGCCTCTGACCCATTTGATCACTTCTACAGGAAACATTTGCTTCTTCTGGTTTCCAGGCACCACACTTTCCAGATTTTCCTCCTACCTCTCTGGGTCTCCCATCCGCCCCTCCAATGTCCAACGGGCACTCCCACGTCACACAGCCCCGCCTGAGCTCCAGAACCTTCCCCACACCTTCTCCGCGCAAAGCCTTAAGGCATCGGCTCTTTGAACCTGACCTCTCCCTTTCACATCTCACACCCCAGTCTGGCCCAGGCCACCATCATCGGCGACCCGGGCTGCTGCAGTGGCCACACTGGCTCCACTCGGAGCCCCCCTGCGGCTCCCCCTACAGAGGGGCCCTCCAGGCCCACCTGATCCGGCCGAGTGACTTTGAACCTCGCTTCCTGCCCCCTCCCTCGTCTCTCGGGCGGCAGGTGCCCGCGAGCTGTGCCACCACCGGGCTCGGGGCTTCGCACGGGCCGCGGCCCCGCCCGGGGAGCCTCCTGGGGTCCTCCCGCAGAAGCGAGCTCTGCTCCCCTCCCCCTCGCCCTCCCACCCGTCGTGGGCCCCGGAAGAGGGGAGCGCGCATGCGCCCGCCGGCACCGCCCCCCGGCCCGCACCGGCCGGGGGAGCTTCGAGTCCGCTCCGGTCGGTGCTGGGTTGGGACCCCCGGCGGGGAGCGGAGGACGGGCCGCCGAGCCCGCAGACCGCGCGGAGACGCACCTGCCGGAGGCGGGAACGGCGGCGGCGGCGGCGGCCCTGACGCGGGGGGCGGGCCGTGGAGGCCGCGGGGAGGGCCGGCCACCTGCCCCGCTGCAGCGGCCCCTGCCGGACACCCAGCCTGGCCGCGCTCGCGAACGGCGGGGGCCACCCCCGCTCCTGTCTGTCCGCCAGCAACCGCGGAGCGGAGCAGGGGGCGGTGTCTTGCCGCGTCTTTGCGCGCTTCCCCGATGTGTCGTGAATTACTACCTGCTTTCCTCCGGCCGGATCACACCGCTTCCGGACAGAGCACTTCAAACACTAGAAAACGCAATTTCCAAAGATGGGTTAGTCGGGTTTCCGGGCAGCGACCCCTGAGATTTTTACCTGGGTGTCCCAAGGAAACAGTTTGAGGGTCTCTAGGGCAGGGTGTCCCAAGTGGCTCCACGTGTGCGATTGCCCTTAAAATCGCCCAGGTTTCTTCCTTTTGATTCAGGCTGACCACCAGCACTAGCCTTCCTGCAGTAGAACTGCCTACGGGTGTGCCCGTGGATCTGAACCGGAAGTGGCCTGAGAACCTGGGTGCAAAAAACGTTACCTTGACATTTGTTTTCTGGTGTCAGACCTCAACCACTTCCTAGTTTGGCTGGAAATTCAGCCCACTTTGGAAGCCTCTCTTGCTCCTGTAGGCTCTTGCAGCCCCTCAGGGGCTTAGGGAATCCAAGGATATGGGAGGAGGGCCTCACATCTAACTATTTCCCAACCCCCGCTCCCCCTCCACGTGTATGTGGCACTCACTTTGTGACGGACACTTGTAAGCGCTTAACATACCTTAGCCAGTTTCTTTTTTTTTTTTTTTGAGTTTATTTATTTTGAGACAGAGAGAGAATGCATGGGAGGGACAGAGAGAGAGGAAGAGAGAGAACTCCAAGCAGGCTCTGTGCTGCCAAATACAGAACCGGTCACAGGGCTTGAACTCACGAACTGTGAGATGGCTGACCTCAGCCAAAACCAAGAGCCAGGATGCTTAACCTACTGAGGCGCCCAGCCTTAACCAGTTTAAATCTTCCCTGTTATCCCTACTTCACTGGTGGGGAAACGGAAACCCAGGGAAGTGATGCCCGAGGCAGAAAAGCTGTTGATAGAGCTAAGATTCGAACCTAAGTGCTTTAGCTCCAGATACAAAGGTCGGGGCTTCCACACACACTTTCTCTTATTACAGTGTTGTTCCATGGTTTCGTGTGCATGTGAGATTAGCCTTTGAGTGTTCATCCTTTCCTACATTCAGATACTGGGTGCAGGGAGCTGGGGTGGGGGGGCGGGGTGCAGTGCCCCTCGCTGCAACCTTTCATGGTTTCAAGGCCCAACATGTAGCCCTCTGCCTCCGCCCACATGTTCACCCACCTCTGGGGCGTGGCCGTCCATCAAGGTCCAGGAGTCTCCTCCCTACAGCAACCCTCCCTACCAACCCCTCAACGCCATCCCTTCTTCCAGACTTGGATGAGCTGCCTGTTCCTCCTGAAGCATCATTAGCTACCGTCCTTGCCATCGTTCAAGCAACTCCCGCTGAATCTCCCGATGGCCTTGTTCTTTTCAAAACAAAGACTGTCCCCGCTTCCTGAAATGTTCTTTCCCTATTCCCTCAAGAGTAACTCCTCTCAACCTTCCCAGCTCCCCTCAATCGTAACTTCCTCAAGGAAGCCTTCTCTGACCCCAGCTCTCCCCCCCGATGTGTGAGATCCCTTGTTCCTGATCCAGACTCTTACAGCAATTATCCCAGTGAAGGTTTCAAATGCACTGCTGTTTATTGGATTCCATTGTCTCCCCTCCACCAGGCTGTAAGCATCCCTGAAGATGACCTTTTTGTCTTTCTTTGCTCACAGTGATATTTCCAGTGCCTCACAGGGCCTGACAGTGGATACTCAATTTATTAATTCAATTAATATGTGTCACACGAGTAAATGAGCAACCTCACAGGAAAAGCAGCCTAGCATTGAGAGAATGGCTTGGCTGTCTTTACCAAAATGAAGAAGTAAATTACTTTTTCCTTTCACGTTGCTTATGAGTCCCGAGCAGCACAAAACAAAGCAAAAGTAAACAAGCAAAAGCAGTTTATCGATTAACTACCTATTTGCAGAGGTTTTCCTGGCATAATGAAGGTGATATAAGAGTTTAGGAGTACATACGCTAGGCAGTAGAATCTTGCCTCCTCCCTTTAGTGAAATTCAGACATGCCACACTTTCCCTCTGGGAAGAAAATCTACCCCCCCCCCCACTCTGACATTTTTTAAATGTTTATTTACTTTGAGAGAGAGAGAGAGAGATTACACATGCGTGACCAGGGGAGGGGCAGAGAGAGAGGGAGAAAGAATCCCAAGGAGGCTCTGCACTGTGAGATCATAACCAGAGCCAAAATCAAGGGGCACCTGGGTGGCTCAGTTTGTGAGATTGAGCCCCAAGTTGGGCTCTGTGCTGACAGCATGAAGCCTGCTTGGGATTCTCTCTTTCTGCCCCACCCCCTGCATGTGCGAGCTATCTCTATCTCCCCCTGCCCACCTCAAATTAAATAAATAAACATTTTAGGAAAAAGAGAGAAATCAAGCCTTGGACACTTAACCAACTGAGCCACCCCAGGCACCCCATGTATATTCTCTCCGAGTCACTCACTTTGCTGATTGCCATGCTGCCTCTTAAGGGTGGACTGTCCTCTTTAAGCTCTGGTGCAAATGTAAACATGGATGTAAACATCTAGACTTGGCGCCCTTCATCGATCGACTGATTTTGATATGCTTAGGAGAAAGCTACAAGTTTCTAAGGGTTTTACTCAGTAGTAAGGGAGAACAACAAGAAAATCGACATCAAGACCACAAAACTAGAAGAGATATAAACACCATCCAGAAATGGTGCAAAACCCCAGCCGCGTAGATGATACATTTCCCAGCTCTAGTCTGTTTCCACAATCACACGCCGATGTGACGCTCATCCCCCCATCTACCCCCAGGCATCTTGGGCCCTGTGTGGAGAAAGGCAAGAGAGCAAGAACGTGTCTGCACAGCCCCTCAGGTTCTTCAGGTTTCGGTATGAGGCCCGAGGACTGGTTAGCACAAAGAATGGCCTTGCCTTCCGAGGGTTCCCGAGCACACAGCATCCAGGGCTTCGGCTTTCACTTCAGTCAGCTGGTCAGTCCATCTGCATACAATACAGCCGCATAGGATATAGCAAGAATGCCTGCAGCTCACACTCAAGAAATAAAATGAACACACATGCACGAAAACCGCTGTGAGTGGTGGAAGGCAGGAAATGAGGGGCGCAGGTGTTTGCATGCTCTGTGGTGCGGGAAGCCAGGTTATGAGGAAATGGTTATATCAGCCATCTGGAATAACGAGGGCGCAATCTTCTAGTAGTTGGATGGCGAGGTGTAGGGGAGTCAGTGCCCTGATTCCTAATGTCTGTGATAATTAATAAAGGGAAACTTCACTAAAGTCCAGAGGGCAGAAGGGGAACCCTTATCACTCAACATCAATTACAAGAATTGTCAATTTCAGGTCCCAACAAAGAATGGCCAATAGGGAAGAACCCTCAATTACAGGCGCCAACAGGGAAAAGATGTGCATTGCACCCCTACTCCTGCAACCCAGCCAATGAGAAGCCTTCATCACCCTGAACTCTTGCCTTTGTCCAGTGGACTTTCATTCAAAACAGCCCCTTCCAGGGCACCTGGATGGCTCAGTCTGTTAAGCCTCTGACTCTTGATTTCGTCTCGGATCATGATCTCGCAGTTCATGAGTTTGAGCCCCGCATTGGGCTCTGCACTGACAGTGTGGAGCCTGCTTGGGATTCACTCTCTCTCCCTCTCTGCCCCTCCCCCACTCGTGCACGTGCTCGCTCGCTCTCTCAAAGTAAATAAATAAACGTTAAAAAAAAAAAAACAACCACTTCCAACTTCCTCCTTCTTCTCCATAAAATAACATTTCTTTCCTCTCTTTTGTTGGACGTGCCTGTGGTTTGCTGCAGATTGCTGTGTCAAATCGCAATTCTCCACTTCGATTCCAGAATAAACCCATTTTTGCTGGTTTAAAATAACTTTCGTTTTTATTTATTTTTTTTTATTTTTTTTTTAATTTTTTTTTTCAACGTTTATTTATTTTTGGGACAGAGAGAGACAGAGCATGAACGGGGGAGGGGCAGAGAGAGAGGGAGACACAGAATCGGAAACAGGCTCCAGGCTCTGAGCCATCAGCCCAGAGCCCGACGCGGGGCTCGAACTCGCGGACCGCGAGATCGTGACCTGGCTGAAGTCGGACGCTCAACCGACTGCGCCACCCAGGCGCCCCATAACTTTCGTTTTTAAGGTTAATGTATCCAAGAGCCCTGTTCTTTCTTTTCATGTTTAGAACATCCATGTTTTGGGGCGCCTGGGTGACTCAGTCAGTTAAGCGTCTGACTTCGGCTCGGGTAATGATCTCATGGTTCGTGAGTTCTGGCCCCGAGTCGGGCTCTGTGCTGACAGCTCAGAGCCCGGAGCCTGCTTCGGATTCTGCGTCTCCCTCTTTCTCTCTGACCCCCACCCCCATTCATGCTCTGTCTCTCTCTATCAAAAATAAATAAACATTAAAAACATTTTTTAAAAAACCTGCCCATTTCTGAAAGCCAAATTCTATTGGTATTTTTTAAGGGATCAAGTTAAATTTATAAACTAACATGGGGGGAATTGACAGATACTTACGATATTGAGTTTTCCTCCTCAAAAACAGTATCTAGTTAATTTGAAAACATATATGCGCCCTTATGTTTATTGCAGCATTATTTACAATGGCCAAGATATGGAAGCAGCCCAAATGTCCATGGATAAA